CTCACGACTGTCTGAAATATAACACAGTTCGCAAAAAAAGAAAAACAAACCCTTATTTCTCTCTTTAACGCATGCACACTTTCCCTCCCTCTTTCACGTGCTTCCTCTCTCCTTCCAAAACACACACATATGCTCACTCTCTCTTATGCTCAATATCTTTTATACACATGCACCGTCTATCACAATATACACACCCTCTGTTTTTCTTTCTCTCTCTCTCACACACAAACACACACACACACACACACAGACATACCGTCACACATCCACTCGGTGAGAAAATGAATTTGTCAGATCGTGATTTTCAGTTGTTCCTCCAAAGCTATTGCTCAGAGCTCTCTGATACAGCCCACAGCCCTGCAGGACATTTCTGTCTGCTGTCCAGATCTGCAGCCTGCAGACTCACTGCGGGTCATTTGTGTAACAGACTCTATTGATCTGGGAAATTATCGCCTCTCTGTGAGCTGTTGTAAGAGCTGCTCAGAGGTCAGAACGGGACAGACTGAAGATTTATGCATGTGTGCGTGAAAGGCAAACTGTCGGATATAAAAAAAAAGACGATGTAATATTCACACCAAGAGATCAGCTACACAATGTGAAGAAAAAAAATTCTTATTCTTGAATACAAGACCCAACTTTGCAGAATATAATGGCTGGCCATAAAATTTCTGCTTTAAAATGGTCAATGGATATGAACATGACTGTGATTATGGCTGGGCAAAGTGTGTAACCATTTACTAAAGCAATTTGAATGGCTGAATTTAAAGCTTATGAGATTGAATTAGTGCACTGACCGTATGCAGAGTCCACCGCAGGGTTCTGCTTGCGAGTCGTGGCCAAGACATCTACAGAAAGAACAGAAGATGAATAAGATCAGGAAGATCTACAGTCAGGCTAATGAACTTTATTACTTTGCAGAAGAATTCTTTATTGCGTTTTTTACTATAAATAAATCAATTTTGATGCATAAAAGCAATAAGCCATTTAAGGCCATGCATTACAGAAATTTTACTATCATGGTTAAGGGGTTTTATATCATGATGATCACTTTAATTTCTCTATTTTTGCAATTACAGCACAAGAATGTACACAATACATGAGCCTATTACATATGGGACTGAAGATGAAAATTGGCCATAGGCTAACTTTGGTACAATGCATACGATTTTTTAATTTACGCTTAATATTGTATATGGTCCCTTAAATAAATTCAAATTAAATAAATAATCTATCAAATAAATGTCCACCTCAGTGTGAAAAGAGAAATAAGTATTTTGCATAAAGAAAATGAAATGTAATTTTAAGATTTAAGTTTTTGTGTGTGTGTGACATCAATTTCATGACAGATAAAGCAGTCTTTCATGCTCACTATTTATTAAATAAAAAATACAGTCAAAACAGTAATATTGTTAATTATAATTTAAAATAACTTCTTTCTATTTCAATATATTTTAAAAGGGAATTTATTCCTGTGATGGCAAAGCTAAATGTTCAGCAGCCATTGCTCCAGTCTTTAGTGTCCAATGATCCTTCAGAAGTTATTCTAATTTGCTGATTTGGTTATAATCACAGTTGAAAAGTTGTTTTGTGAAAATCATGATACAGGATTCTCTGATGAATTGGAATCTTAAAACAGCATTTATTTGAAAAATAAATCTTTTGTAACATTATAAATGTCACTTTTTATCAATTTAATGCATCTTTGCTAAATAAAAGTCTTAATTTCTTTTGAATGCTAAAGTACATTATATTATATTATAATGAATTAAAATCAGCATCAATTAAATGATAATATGATTTAACATTAAATAATGAGTTGCTTAACTGTCATAAAAACAATGCCACAATGCACAAAAATCTTGCACTGTTCAAAGAGGTTGCAAAATGTGATTTCTTTTTGTCTTTTTCCTTCCTGGAGAGAAACATGACCCAGACATGCTCCTGACATGTTCCATGAGATTCTCTCAGAAAGGTTCTAGAGTTCTGGAAGTCTTCAGAACAGAAGTAGAGTTGTAGCAGGAATGTGTAGAGATGTAATAATGGTGTGAATGAGTTATGATCTCTGGGAGCAAGTCAGCTTGGACTGTCTGGAACTCACCATGACAGCTGTCTGGGTACTGAGGATATCCATTCTCCACATACTGCTCAAATCCAGACCTGTGACAGAGACAGAGAGGGAGAACGCCAGAACAGAGAGAGGAGAAGAGAGTAAGCAGGAGAAGGAGTGAGAAAGAGGACAAGGGAGTGACAATCATTCTTTTGTGAGCCTCTCCCTGAATGATCCCTCTAATTAGTTGTGCTGTCAGCAGTCTGTTGTTGCCTCTCCGAGCAACTGTAAAGGGAAATAACATGTTACATTTTGATTGACGCTTGAGTGTCTGACATACAAGGACACTTCCTCTATACCATGACTGACAGCTGTGATTTAGCAGCCATAAGAAGAGAAACAAATGCAAATGTATTCATACAGTATTTATACATATGCAAAAATTCAAAGTTAATTAAGTGCCAAATTAGAGTAAATGTAGCAATTTTATAGGAACTACAACATATTAGAGATTAAAATCGCACTGTAAGACTGATAGTCTGACACTATTACAACTGCTTGTAACAACTTTTTTTCCCTCAGTAGATGATTTATTATCATAAGTTTATCTACGTTTTTACACATCCAGAACTGCATTTGGTGACTCATATGAGGAACATTCCTCGCATTAAGCCATAATAATGAAAATATTCACTATGCGTCTATGTTTTTGTGACAAACGCAGTTTTATGGAGAGATGGAGACTGACTCATCTCGTGCATGATGCTTTGGGTGTCACAATGACGTGGGCTGTTTTCCACAAATATGTACTGAAAAATAGTGCAATAACAAATATAATAAATATATATTGTAACAAAAAAATGAGGCTTCAACGCTGCTAAAAATATGTACATACAAAATATTAATACAAAATAAGATTTGGGGTTTGATGTTTGATTGATGCTATATATATATATATATATATATATATATGAATTTAATGTGCACATATGTAATTAATGCATTCACATGTCAAATTAGTGGAGTTTTATTCATTCAAGCACACAAGTGTCACTAAACAGAAGCACCTTCAGTTTTGAGTCTATTTCAGATGTAAGAACCTTTGTGTGTAGAAAATGAGTGTTTGGGCAAAACAGCATATTAAGTACAATTTTAAGAGAATATATGTTTACTGAGAGGGACGTTGCTGACTCATGCAGCCTCACAGCGTAACCACGGTGACACGTTGCTCTGAGCGACTGCAATGTTCGGCTGCTCCTGGCATCACAGAAGCGAGCGTGTCATTGCTGCTCACTGCCGAGCACCTGAGTGACATCTCGCACAAACAGACGCATAACGCGTTCTGTCGGCTTTTGCTTCCTCTCCGTGTTACCATGGAGACAGGATTAGATTAGAGGGCTGTGGTCTAATGGAGCACACAACTCTGTACCTGAATCCAAAATCAGGATTCGCAAAAATCACTACATGCCACTTTTGTCCAAAAACACTTTGTGAGTGCAAAAACATGCATCTTATCCATTATACACCTTGCAATTCAGTTCAGGTGCTTAATGCGCTGATATAATAATTAGTGCATAATTATTGTCATTCATTTCAGGGCAAAGGTGTCTTCGTTTTATGTAAATTTGCAATAAATTGAGGTGCACAAAAAGTGCTATGTGCCTGGTGCAATTCATTTGGCGAAGCTACTGTAGACGAGCTGAAGGGAGTATTACACTGTAAAAAATGATTGTATGAAGTTGTAAAAAGAAAAAAAAAGATTATTGGAGTATGTTTTTTTGTTTTAAAAGATAATACAATTTAAGTCATTCTACATAGTTAAATCACTTGTCACTTGCTGTTTTATTGTTGTGACCATTTCTGAATGAAACTTGTTCCTTCTTTTAATTGAAGTACTTTAAAATGAATGCCATTTATTACATTTTTAAACAACATGTCTTTACAATTTAAATATATGTATAAACTTAATTCCCTCTTAAATATTTTGTCTGACTTGATTTAATTTTGAGTATATTTGATCTAGAGTGGAATCAATATTTTTGTGTAGCACAATATACAAGAATGACTTCTAAAAAAAGATTCAAGAGAAAAAACAAGCTTGTGTACAAACACATAACTTATCATCTAACACTGGCACCCCATTTCAGCCCTGCCGAGGCACCTGCCGTTCTCCTGCCTAACCCTGCCCTGCATATTCAATCTATCTGAGAATCAGCCCTCTCTACCTGACATGAGTTAAAGTCCTTATTTCCATTAACCTAAGAGGGGAGAGAGTGACAGAATGAGAGGGAAAGACAGAGAGAGCGGGGATGACTTCATCTCATATTGAAGGATAAATAGAAGGACAAGAGAGAAAAAAAATCTCCTGCATAAAGTGGTAAATTGGGATCTTGCAGGTGCATAATATCTGAACATCAATATGCCTCTGAGATGCATGCTTTTCATTATACCTGAATTGGCCAACACACTCACACACACGCACATTAGCACAAACACTCTGTCTCATCACATGGAGATTAAATTGCCCCTGGGAGAGAGCGAATAGGGAAAAGGAGAACACACAGAGAAAATATCCCACAAGATAATAAAGTCATATTTTTCTTCATATTCTCCTATCCACAGTATGCTGCAAAAAACAAGCCGCAGAGCTGTTCTAAAAATGAGAAAGTCGGAGTATTACCATCGTACATCTATTGCCCTCTTTTCTTACATTTCACCCTCTCAGTCTTGCAGAATTTCATTAGATGCTGATTAGCATTTAAACACACTTTGGCGCTTTCTCTTGTCTTATTTCTTATTCTGCTTCTATCAAGTTTCATGTCGCCAGACTTAAAGTCAGCATGAAGTTTTTTTCAGCTTATTCAGGCCAAAAGCCCGCCAGAAGAGGCCACTTTTTTCATGTGACTCCTGAAAATGACTCCAACCAATCAATTTGGACATAATGATTTTGACCACATAGTGCAATAAGCATCCGATGGTCTGATTGCAAAAAGTGTAGAATTGATGGACTCAAAGTTCATAGTGGCAATCAGAGCAGGTCAAGTTAATCAATGTAGTGAAATCACAAAATAAAACGCAGTTAAATGTGCCCTCACTACCAAACAAATAGTACAATTATTTGGGATGTGAAAACAAGACTCTTTGAATTAACAACAGCCCAGTGATGAACAACAGCCCATTTACACTACCGATCAAAAGTTTGGGGTCAGTAAGTGATCTACCTTTTAAAATAACCATTTTCTATATTAACATATTTTAAAAATGTAATTGATTCCTGTGATGGCAAAGGTGAATTTTCAGTAGCCATTACTTGAGTCTTCAGTGTCACATTATCCTTCATAAGCATCATTATAATATGCTGATTTGGTGCTGCTCAAGCAACATTTTATATGTCGAAAAGTTCAAAGTACAGTTAAAGTTTCTATGACAGAAACCAGAATTCTAGATTTTAGTCAAGATTCTAGACCTCTTTATAATTCTAATGCACTGTATGATTATAGAAGACTTTATGGCATCGGACAGCATAAAATGTATCACTCTGACATAAGTTTGGCTATGGAAGCATATAATTGAATGCTGGAGTGTACCAAGGCTCTTCTGGGACACTGATAAGCACTCTCAACAATTTCCGTCCATTTTGTTGGCAGCGGTCTGGAAATCTGCTGTGTATGTACTAATTTTCATGAGTTCAAGATGAAATGATTCCCCATGTCAGTTTATAGAGATCAATACTCACATTAGGACACATTAGAGCACATTAAGAACCAATAATCGAGTTGGCCAGAAAATATCATTAAAGACTGTGACCAGGTTACAGAGAAAGTGCAATAAAATTATATGCATTCAGTTAAATAAAATAATTTCATTCCTACATCTGGCGCAGGATTTGTTTGGTGTGTAGATAAACTCGCTGATCAGCAATAGCATGTTAAGAATAAGACCTCCCAGTAAAATTTTCACTTTGAGTACAAGGGTACTTTAACTTTTTTTAATGAACCAAAATTGCAGCTGCACTTCAGTGGATGTGTCTCATGAGCAGGGAAACATCAGAGCGTGCTGGGGAAACTAGTGTCACTGTTGCTTTCCACAACTGATGACAACCGCAGCGACCATTTAGCAAAACATTAATAACAACAAATTCAAGCGCTGGATCTGCACTCATTATAACACACACAAATGAAATACTTCTGCTTGACAATTGCAGAGGCAGTATTAGATACATCCCTGGCACAAGCTGATATTGTATAATATGGTGGGGATGTCAATATGCTCTTTCAGCCAGAGATCAATGCAACATATTTAAATGAGTATTTCTATAGCTCAAATGGTAGAGCATGGCGCTAGCAAAGTTAGTTTGAGCCTGCTAAAAAATTATACCTTGAATGCAATGCAAGTCACTTTTGATTAAAGCATCTGCCTAATGCATAAAAATGTAAAATGTTAACACAGACTCTGATATATTCATAAAGAGTCACATGAATTGTGCGCACAGTGGTAAGTACATATGCTCTTGACATTAAAGAGGTAAAATCTGCCTTATTGCCTTTCTTTCTGTCCAGTTTCCTATCTATTCTCTACTGTCCTAAGCTAAAAAAAGCAAAATGCTCCTCAATAAAACTTTAATTTAAAAAATAAAACAGCATGAGTTGCATTGGCTTGTTAGATATTTTACACAGCAATGATACCACATTACTTCTACAAATATTTGTAAAGGTTAATGCGCCATTATGACCGTTTTTAAGTCTTAAAATTAACAACAGACCAGATGAATGAGTGTAACAGTGATGTCATCCCAAACAAACTGAAAAATTGATTGTTTGTTATTGTCCTCTTGCATTATTGACAAACTATTTTCCTGTTTGACACTGTAAAGCTGCTTTGACATGATCTGTATTGTATAAAGTGCTATATAAATAAAGGTGACTTGACTTGACATGACAAAGATAATGCACTTTTAACAAGCATTTACTGTAAAGATTTCCTTTTTTGCTTTTTTTTATTTTTATTTTAACAGTTAAATGCATTAAGTATCATAAACAACACTTTTACAAACCAGATCAATTACAAACCAAAGATGCATACAAAAAGCAGAATTGAATTACACAAGAAACAAATAAAATGCACTACCATTCAAAACTCTGAGGTCAATTAATCTTTTTTTGAAAGAAATTAATATTTTAATTCAGGATGCATTAAATTGATTAACAGTGACAGTAAAGACAGTAATAATTAGAAATGTTTCTTGAGCACCAAATTGGTATATTAGACTGATTTCTGAAGGATCATGTGACACTGAAAACTGGAGTAATGATGCTGAAAATTCATCTATGACATACCAGGAATAAATTACATTTTAAAATATATTAAAATAGAAAATAGGCATTTTAAATTGTAATAATATTTCACAATATTACTGATTTTACTGTATTTTTGATTAAGTAAATGCAGTCTTGGTAAGCATACAAAACTTCTTTCAAAAAGATAGAAAAACTAAACTTTTTAGAATTGTAGTGCACACTGACAGTTGGTAATTTATAGAGCCTGAAACATCAAATTTTTTTGTAGTATATGTAGAAATTAACATAACCTATATTACCAACTGCTGCAAAAGTATTGTTTACTGTTAGACTTTGATACCTAACGCATTAAATAATGTAAACCAATTAAAATTTTATTGTAAAGTGTTAACCAGGATGCTATATTAAATTTACTGCAAAAATATTTTGAATGTTATCTATGAACTCACCCTGGTCATTGTATAGACTGTCTAGTAAAATTCTGTAACTGCACTTAGTTATAAATTTTGAAGACATTTTACAACCATCTGATTTTTACCAGATGTCTTAAGGATGCTTAGAGAAGAAATACGCTCTAGGACAGGGTTCCTCAAATCTTGCCCTGGAGGGCCAATGCGCTGCAGAGTTTAGCTCCAACCCTGATCAAAGTCAGCTACCTGTGATTTTCTAATGATCCTGAAGACATTGATTAGCATGCTCAGGTGTGTTTGATTAGGGCTAGAGCTAAACTCTGCAGGAAAGTGGATCTCGTGGGCCAGATTTGAGAATCCCTGCTCTAGGAGAACTTTAAAAATAAAGCACTGCCAACTGTGTAGAAAACTTATTTACAGAATTCAGTAGCTGTGTAGGTTCTTTTATTCTAATGAACCGTAAATGCGTTTACTGTGGCAGGACTAATAGAAGGGTCACGTGATATAGCTTTAACTCACTTGAATCCCGGTGCCACTGTGGCACAGTTCCCCACACTCAGCCAGATGCAGTAAGGGTCTCGCGAGGACAGACAGCTCCTAAAACACACACACACACACGCACACGCACACACACACACACACACACACACACACACACACACACACACACACACACACACACACACAGAGTTAACTCATACCACATGTGCTGGAAAGGTTGTGTGTGTTTTCCTCGCTCACTGTCTCCATCTTCCCCCTAATTTCCCTTTCCCCCCTCTCTCTCCAAGTGGATGTGACAAGCTGGAA